TACCTAGAGTAAACAAGTAACATGTTTTTAAGGACATTAACAAACAAAGTTTTAGGAAAAATGACAGGATGATGATAAGTCTAGCTCAGTATGTTTAGCCTAAACAAGTAAAGATTCAAGAGAATTGAGAAAGAAAATTTCAAATATCTGAAGACTGTCAAAAAAAGAAGAGGCAAGAAAGCAGAAAGAGAAGCCAACAAATGAATATAGCAAGAAAAACACAGGGGTTTTTTTTAAAAAAGAAACTGAGTAGCCATTTGTCACTGTGGCTATAGCTTTCTCCTGCATTGCATAACCTATGAAGAGCTGTCCATTGTTTTAGCTGATAATTAGAGCAGGGCTTTTCAACCAGTGGTACACATACCACCAGTGACAGGTGGTGCGCGACCCACCTAGATAAGTGTAGCAGAGGAGGGGAATGAGCTGAAGCAACACAAGCCTGAGGGAGAGGCAGCCAGAGCTGCAGGACTGTCGGGGCTCGGTAGAAGCCCCAGGATTGTTGCAGGGCTCCAGCTGATTGGCGCTTCTGTAAGCAGTAGCTGGAGGTGAAACAAAGAGAAAAAAAGGGGGGGAGAGGAGAGGATATAAAAGGAGGTGGTTTTGGTGGGTAAGGGAAAAAAAGTGAAGGGGATGGAGAAGAACTGTGGAAGGAGAGCTCAGCAGGTAGGGAGGAAAAAGAGACAGGGAAGAAGTTGTTGCTGGAAGAAAAGGTCCCCTGGTTCGTTTTCTCCAGCCAGGGGAATGCAATCAGCGCTGATGAAATAAAAAGCTGGGAGACAAGCATGTCGGAACAGAGGTTGGCTTATTTCAAAAGCCAGTGGCAGCTTGACTGGATCACCATAAAGATTTTTATACAGTTTTTACAGCGTTTTGTAATTCAGAGGCTCGGTTTGTATGCTTTTGTTATTGGAATATTTTAGTCTGTTTCACAAAGGCTAGCAAGTTTTCTTTGTAGGTAATCGGGCTTAATTTAAGGTTAGCACTTTTCAGCTTTTCGCAATTGCTTTTCGCAACATCGTTAAAAAAAGCCTCAGGCGTTAAAATCAGTTTATTCAGTTTGAAGAAAAAAAACCTGGAGTTAGTGTTTTTTTTTTTATTCTGGGAGGCTTTTGTGAGTCTTTCTTGCTTTGCGCTTATTCCTGTGTCTTTAGGGGTACAGTGAAAGGACTGGGGTGTGTGTGAATTCTTACTACACTGTGGAAGGAGGGAGGCAGGGAGGAAGAAGAGAGAGGAGAGGGAGAAAGGGCCAACCAGCCAGCTGCCCACCAAGGTAGTGGTGCATATTAATAAATACGGATATATTTGTCATACATTTCTCAGTGCAAAGGGAAAGTGATTCAGCAAAGGAACTGCCACCTAAGAAATTAAAACTGGTTTTTTTTACCATTTGTAACATTTTATTAGAGAATAAAATACAAAAATACAAAAGCAAATAGCAGGACACTGTAGGATGGAAAAAGAGGGAAAAAGTGAGGGGGAGAAGGGAAAAAGAAAAGGCATTGACTTCTGACTTCCTCTGTTGCAGTAGAAGGAAGCATTAACACTGAACTTCAACTTTTTACTTTTCCATAACATTATAAACTAGCCATTTCTATAACAAGAAATGAATCTAATCTAATCAGTAAAATCCAAAATCCCCCCCCCTTTTTTTTAGTCATCAAGTTTTTGACATGGTACTCAAATATTGTCATGTTCTAAAATGGTACAATCTGTCAAAATATTGAAAAGATAACTTTTCTACTCCTTAATTCAGTTATTTACATAGTCATATTCTATGCTTGTCAACTGGTCTTCCTGGATGTTAATGTTCTGGTATGTTAGAGTGTGTGACAAAATACTCAGTACATTTCTGTAAGTATGGCCTTGTAAAGCTATGCATTTTAGTTTGCATTTTTAAAATAATCACATCAGGAGTCCTTGAATGTGTTGGTTACATATTACAAATCTTGAAAAAAAGAAATCATTTTCTGTCATAGAACATGAATTGCACTGCAGAAAATAAAGTGGAGCAAGCAAACAACCCCATTTATAATCCATTTACCAAGAACATAGCTCAGTTTATCCATGGGAATCTGAGTAACTTTTATACAAAGCTTGTAATATGCATAACTCCTTCATGTGGCATGAGGTTTTAAATACACTTTCTCTTTTTCTATTCTTCTCAATGCTTTGAAAATACTTTCAGTTTTTCTTATTTTTCACTAGCACCGCAGGATACCACAGTGCTGGATTCCTGAATATGAACGCTTTGTTCTTTTTCTGTCAGATGTTTCCACTTCCAGAGTTCAACTCTTGGTCTGTTCTCTGTCTCAGACTGAAGAAAAACTAAAATAATTTAATTAAATTCCAAAATTATGAAATAATTGAGTGTTGGGCATTGTGGGAAGTCAGCCCCCCCAGAGAAAGAAATATTTTTGGAAATATTTAAAAGACAGAATATATTTCCCTAAAGGATTTTAAAAGCAGAAACCATCCCTGCCCCCAAGTCTCTCTATCCCAAACAGAAACCAAGTCTGCAGAATTGCAGATGTGATAATCTTGTCAGAAAGACTGGAGTCAGGAAACTGGGATTAGGAAGAAAGATCCCGAGAATCAACAACCCCTCACACCAAAAATCTAAGAGTCATCAGCCACAGCCCCAGGGAAGCAGGATATGACCTTTGGGACATAATAGGATTAACCCACCACCATCAGAATACCAGAAATGCAGGTCAAAGTTCATGCCACAGGAACAAAAGGCTCAAGAAGGTATAAAAACCCACTTCCTACATGTGCTCGCTCTTTTTTCTTCCAGAGCCATCTATCTGTCTGGCTCTCCCTTCAATAAACTGCAACCTTCTTTCTAAAGCAGTCACCATGTTGTTTATTCCCGGCTTGGACTGAACCATGATGAAGACTTATCCTTCAACAGCATAATCTTATTGAAGTTCTCAGAAAATGTTATAGATCTATATTGAATGTATAGTGGGTGGATATATTGCGAATCAAGGGATTTTCTGTTCTTCTTTCCTTTTATATGTCTATTTAATTCCTCCCTCCCTTCAATAGCTACTTAAATTTTACAAGGGCTTGGAAGTTCAGGCAGAATCAAGCACAGACTTGACGCTTAGAGGAGAGGTGGCACTTGAAATAAAACAGTTACCAAAATTTCCCATATGATTACAGGTTGGCTGTACTAATAATCTAATATAAGCAGTGAGGTATGTTGTTGTTGTTGTTGTTGTTGTTGTGACTCAGAAACCCTCCAAGAAGCATAGCTCTCTCTGCATCTGCTGCCTCTCTTTGTTTGGGGAAATGCTATGTTCATGTTATGGGAATGTGATTCATAACCTCTGAGCTTCAATCAATCTTGCAACCTCAGTTTTCTCAGTTTTTAGTATAAACAAAAGATATAAGACACTATTTACCTATTTTTGCTAAATGAGTAAGTGTGGTTTTCATGGTAGCCAGAGACAGACATATATTGACTTGAAGAGCCTTGGCAAATGGGTACAGCTAGTCCTCAACTTATAACAGTTCATTTAGTGACTATTTGAAGTTACAATGTGACTCATGACCATTTTTCACATTTAGTACCATTGTAGCATCCCCATAGTCATGTGATCAAAATTCAGATGCTTGGCTTCTGACTCATATTTATGACCATTGCAGTATCCTGGGATCATATGATAAAGTACCGCTTTATAAAGCTTTAGTAAGGCCACACCTGGAATACTGTATCCAGTTTAGGTCACCATATTACAAAAAAGATGTTAAGACTTTGGAAAAAATGCAAAGAAGAACAACTAAGATGATTAAGGGCCTGGAGACAAAAACATATGAAGAATGGTTGCAGGATTTGTGTTTGTCTAGTCTAGAGAAAAGAAGGTCTAGGGGGGATATGATAGCAGTATTTGAGAGATTTCCACAAAGAGGAGGGGGTCAGCTTATTTTCCAAAGCACCAGAGGGCAGGACAAGAAACAATGGATAGAAACTAATCAAGGAGAAAAGCAACCTGGAATTAAGGAGAAACTTCCTAACAGTGAGGACAATTGACCAGTGAAATAGCTTGCCGTCAGAAGTTGTGGGTGCTTAATCACTGAAGGTTTTTGAGAAGAGACTGGACAGTCACTTGTCTGAAATAGTATAGGGCAGTGGTGGCGAACCTATGGCACTGGTGCCAGAGACGGCACTCAGAGCCCTCTCTGTGGGCATGCGCGCCGTCGCCCCAGTCCTAGGCCTTCAGCTGGGTTTTATAAAACCTTTTCGCTTTAGGCCTCCGCTGCCATGTGTAAAAAAAAAGAAAGGTTCAATCAATCAGTCAATTTCAACTTCTCGCGGGGAAAAAAAGATCTTGCAAAGTTGGAATTGATTGATTGAACTTTTCAGTCCCACCCAGTCTGCTATTACCACCGCAGCCACGCCCACCCAATGGGCCACACCCACCCGATGGGCCACACCCACCTGGCACTCGATGATGCATAAGTGGGTTTTGGATTACAGTTTGGGCACTCAGTCTCTTAAAGGTTCGCCATCACTGGTATAGGGTCTCCTGCTTGAGCAGGTGGTTGGACTAGAAGACTTTGAAGGTCCCTTCCAGCTCTATTCTGATTGATTGACCTTTTCGACCTTTTGACAAGCAAAATCAATGTGGAAGCCAGATTCACATAACATCTGTGTTACTGACTTAACAACTTCAGTGATTACCTTAACAACCGTGGCAAGAAATGTCGTAAAATGAGGGAATTCATTTAAAAGTACTATGAAGAAGTAAATCTGATAACTTATGCTACTATGGAATTCATTTGCTGACTTAGGCCATATCAGCATAGCCTAATATGTGTATAGGATTCCTGTGAATTCTTTCTTGTTGTTAACAACATCTATAAAATGGAGAAAAACCTCTCTGACTTTCTTTGCTTTGCCACACCTTCAAGAACATACAATAGCAAAATACAACAGCAGAAGCATGAACAATATTGTATTACTCTGATTCCACTACTATTTTTTCCCTTTGCAGGAAAGCTTGGTTGACCAGCGTTGGAAGTCCTAGCTCACGCATTGACCGGACAAATTTTTCTAATGAAAAGGAAATTTCAAAACTTGAATTCTCTGGATTCATCACAAGATATTAATAAAAGCAAATCATAGAATTATCTTACTTCTACCGTGGCATCAAATATTTTAAGTCTCCCTAAAGCAAATTAGGAAAATATAACAATTATTATATTTACATTCTGGCCAAATGTTTATGTGGTGTGTTAAGGCAGAAAAAAGTATCACTTCGTTAAACTTTTTTTTTCTTTACAGATACTTTACAGATACCAATTTGAGTATTATTAGGCATGTTGTTTTGCTATCATGTGCGTGTTTATTTGGAAGTGACTCCTTCTGTATCCAACAGGGTTAGTCCAGATAATTATACAGTATATGCCTGCAGCTTTAAGGATCTGCCCCAAATGTAAGGGTGGAATGATTTACATCTTAAAACTAATATATATGACTACATTCAGTGAAATAATTTATTAAACCTTAAATGTTTAATTCTGGACACTCTAAACCAAATGTTTTACAACAAACTAAAACATTTTTAAAAACTTTATCTAGTTCTCTGGCCAATGAACTTTCCTCTCCATACAGTATTCCAATCAAAAGCTATCTGTCATCTTTATTCCTAGATGGAAAATACCAAATGTGTCACATTAAATTTGGAAAAGACTGTTGGTGGTATTTTTGCACATGAGGTAGCTGTGCTGAAATAAATTTTGAGTGCCATAAAATTAGTTTAACTCTTGTCAGAATGGAGCTACTTCCTCCGTGTTGCTCCACTCCTTGCTTCTTCTGTTTTCAGGTTGGGATTCCATGCCTTTGGCCTTCTTACTATTTTTTTTATTGAGCTTCCTTTCTTTGCCTTACTGTTGTATTGAGGCAAAGCAAAGTAGAAGAGCAGATAGTCAGGATAATCTGAAAGTCAAGAAACGGCTTCTTGAAGAGATGTGAGCTCTGACAAGTGCTTGTGATACCAACCTCTGACATCCCCCAGCTTAGGAAATACTTAATTGTGCCCAGTGAAAGGAAAATAACATCTGAGAAAATTATTTTTAAGCTTATGTAATCCAAGTGAGAGGAGCTTTTCCCAGTTGCTTCTGTGAGGTATTCTCAGTGTGATAATGGAAAAAAGATGGATATTTATCTGTACAGAGATGGAAACTGAGCATTTTCTATGGCATTGTATATGATCATTGACTCTAGGTTTGCTCCTTCAAGGCAGAATAGAATAACAATGGATCTTTATTTTCACTTGAGCCAACAATATTGGCAAATTGCAAATATGCAAAACTACTGACATTTATATGTATAATCTAAGCAGGCATTCCCAGGAAACTATTGATCTGACTCATTAATAAAGCATGAATTCATTGCTAATTCAAATGGGCACTTGAAAAGGCCTTCCATGTGTATGAAGAAGAGTATTTTTTCATAACCAGATTAATTTTAATTGGTTCTTTTATTCAAGTTCTTGCCAGCTTAGTAAGTTGTTATAATTCCAAACACACACAGCTTTTGTGATCATCTACAAACATCCTTTGTTAAACTCCTTAAGAACAACCCTCGTAAATCTGAAATGCAAAATGGCAAAGATCAAGTGTAGGTCTTGTTCATTAGCCAGAATATCTTTCTGCTGGGAACCAGTCTGTATTTTCTCTTGGACCATAATGAATATGAACAATAATAAAGGAACACACAGAGTTGCTCAAAAAAAGTCCCCCCCTCATTCTATGTTGCTTGGTATGTTATAGGAGATAAAAAGATAATGTAAGATTTGTGCAGAATCCCACAGGTATCTTTGTGTATCAAATATTAGGTAAAATACACAGGAAGATTATTTTATTTTTTCACTTGTCATGTTTGTATATTTAAACTCATTCCATATCCAAGCAAACTTTCAAAACCGATGAATCAGAAATTCTAGTACAGCATCTCCCTGTTTAATATCTTCCCATCCAGTATACCCAGAGGAAGCAATATGCAGAAAGCTGCTGTCCTGATGCTAAACGTTTTTCAGAAAATATGGTCGGGATCAGTGGAATAAATATTTCTAAAATGATGCGAAGAGCTAGAATTTCATGGAAGCTAATTTTCATGAAAATTAATGGGCAGTAATATAGGAAATCAGTGTATGGTTCAGGAAAAAAAAGGAAGCATAGACCAACATCAAGAACAGAAATGGATCCATTCAGAACATCCATGCAGCAATGGATTAAAACTGTCAATGCCCTAGATCTAGCAGACCAGGGCATATGCCAAAACATTTTACCAATGAAATAGCTCATATTCATTAAGAGTGTATTCATTGGAGTGGTAAATGAGTTGGACACTTACTCAGTTTTTGTGAATGAGTTCATTCTTGTTTAACTGAATATAGGATAAATCTCTTGGAGGAGTAAGGTCAACTGCTTGTTTGTTGGACCCTTATGAATTGTGATAAAAATCTGCTACAAAAAAACTAGACAGTATAGGAGGTAGGTGTTTTCTTCAGGGATGGGTAATTCAATCTTAAGCTTCCAAATGTCTATTGAATACAGTATTCAGTAACAGTATTTTTCCAAACAATATCTTAGAATCATTAATAACAAGTCCCAAGCTTTATTTGATAATGAAGATTAATTGGATCCTTTCAGTGTTAATTTGAGATTGGATGAAGAGACATAAACAGCCCTGAGTGGCATTGATGGATGATTTATACTGGGGATTAACTAAGGAGAATTCCCTTTTGTTTCTGTTAGACCTCTCAGCATCATTCAGTACTGTCAAAGAAGAATTATTTTGCACTGGTTCCTTGTAATCTCTGCAGAAAGAGGCTATGTCTTATCCTCTTTTCACTTTTTTTTTAAAAAAGTCTCCCTTTTGTCTGTATATTTTTTAACATATACATATATATATATAATTTAAATATGTCTTATAATACACCAGTGTTTCTTGACCTTAACAACTTTAATATTTATGGACATCAACTCCCATGCCAGCTGGGGATTTTTAGGAGTTGAAGTCCACACATCTTAAACTTATCAAGGTTGAGAAACAGTGTTAAACATGATAGAGAGAAAAATTATCACTTGTAATTTATAAGAACCAGCTGCCAACATGCGAGATTTATAGGGGATGGGGACAGGGAGAGAAAGGAAACCGCTATTCAGCAATGAGGCCTGCCAGGTATCAGCTGCTGATTCATTTCTGCCCAGCTTCTCTACATGATTGATCTCCACTACTGAAAGCAACTTCACAGTGGTCGCTTCAGGCAATGGACTGACTCCATCACCCAGGCTGGCAATTTTAGATGCATCTGTTATATGGTTGAAAAGGTTGTCTTGATGCCAGGTTAAAATCTTAAATAGAATATCAGTGATAAAATGAACAAACACATAAAAACTTTATGCACATGCTAGAATTTATTATTTATTTGTATCTCACCTTTATTATTTTAGAAATAACTCACGCTGGCAAACATACCCAACATACCTTTTATTATAAGCAGAAATGAATGTCTGTGGATTTAAAATGTTTTAATTTTGCTTTTACCGGTAATTTTTTTTTCAAATTATTAAACTTTTAATACAGTAATACGTTAAAGGAAAACATCTAAAAAATTAAAACAAAGTAGGCAATTATGCAGTTAAACCTAAAAATATAACATTTGTCATCACAATTTTTAGCCACTGCTAAAAAGTATAAAATTAGACCCCAGCTACATTTCTTTTGAGCAAAGATTCCTCAGCAGTGACACCTTCATTGTAAAACCCCAATCAATTAGCCTTTTCTCTCTTGAAAAAACAGTGACATCCAAGTGAAGGTATTAAATAGTTAGATCAATGGGGGCCGGGGAGGAATTGCTCATGTATGAAATAATATTCAACATTATTGTCAGTCACATAAAGCTGCATTGGAAAAAAGCTTTTGTAGATAGAACTGCACAATTTTCTTTAGTCAGAATTGCAATGCTGTATGCCATCAATGCAATAATAAGTATAGGGTAATTATTGAAACAATATAATGCATCAAGATTTATAACAATATAATAAAAAGAAAAAAAACAGTATTGTATGGCTATAGTCACCATCTTGACTTTTGTATGGCTATAGTCACCATCTTGACTTTTTAAAATACCTGATGCCTTTATTATGGAGCTCTTGTCTATAATTTTAAGATCACTCAGCTGTACCAATACTGACATTGTGGAAACAGTGTAATAAGATTAAGTCTCGTTCTAGAATATTATGAGCAATTGTTCCCCCCCTCCCCCCTTATTATAGTGCTTTGGTTTGCAATACCGATGAGTGCTATATGGTTATGCAACAACCTTTACTGTGTTGGCTATTGTATTTAATTAAATAGTAATTTATCTAATGCTGCTAAATACATTAGCGCACATTAAAGGCAAAGCTTTTACATGACACAGATGTCCTAACATCTTTAGTGGTGCTTTAGAATAAATAACCCAACTGAATAATACCACCAGGATTCAATGGCTTCAGCAAATCTGTCTCTAGCATTGCCCAGCCACAATGGGCAAACCATGTGTAGAGCCAACAGCTTCCCATTACTGAAGCATATGCTTCCAAAGAAGAAAACCATGCTGTGATGGAATTGATGGAATTAACTTACAAAAGTCTACCAAGCTCAACCTCTGCCAGCCTGGTGTTTTGCAGAACTATTGTATTACTATTTGCGAATTTCTTAAATAGCAAATTCTGCAATTTGTTAGAGAATCTTCAATCTGTTTCACATATCTGGAAACAGCTGATAGAAAAAAAAACTAGTTTAACCTAAAAGCTTTTGAAACATGTAACCATAGCTTCTGTACTTTCCCTTGTGTGCTCTGAATTTTGAAATCTAGTACCCATCACATTAAAATTTTAAAATCTAGTCAATCTACTAATTTTGTTCAATTGCAGCAGAATAGCTTGGCTGGATCTTAACATGTTATTCAGCTTTGTATAGTGAGAAAAACATGTATTCTCACATAGATTACATCATTTAGATGATGCATTTAAGCATTAGAAAGATGCAGTGAGACTTCAGCTTAACTCTGATAAATAGGGCATAGCATCCTATTCTCTTTGCAATATTATCCATCGTTGGGAGCACATTGCACCCCTATTTGTCAACAATAGGTTAAGTACTCACTACTTCTTCAGCACTATTCTACAAAAATTGCATTCCTGTAATTCTGTTTTATATTTAAAAGAAAGAATAAAATGCTAGAATTTAGCTCTTCCGCCTCCACTTACTACCCCTGGATTATCTGAATGGTTTAAATCTTATACCCAGTGTTGTTTGCAAATTTCTTAACAACAGGCCATTGCACATTAAACCTAAGGGAATTTAAAGATCTATCTAAAATTAAGTAAATGTATATTATATACTGTAGATACAATGGACTGCAGTTTATGGACACAGATCACATTCTGTGACCATTCCAAGTTTTTAATGAACACTGTGAAATGTGTAAAATATTTCTAAGAGAACTAGTTTATTTTACACTCTTAAGATAACCATTTTATTCTTCTCAATTACCTGTTATTTTTAAAAA